CCTACATCCTTCTGTAACATCAGGAAACATTTTTCCTGTTGTCTTCTCACCATTTCTCCTGTCGCTGCTCTATGGCTTTTGCACAGTGGCTTGTTCACAGGCGGGCTGGTGGTTTTTTGTGTTTTTGTTTTTTTTTTTTAAAGAGAAAAAACCCCAACCCAAACCTTGGGAAATGCGCAGGCTGCCAATCCACATGATTGCTAGGTGCCGTGAGCTGTGTGATGCTGATGATTTGCTGATGTGATGGCCACAAGCAAAGCCCAGGTGGGTCGCTCAGAGCAGGGATCTGCCCTGGACCGCCCAGGCGGGCAGGGATGGACCTCCCACCGATGGGGCATTGCCCTGCTCTTCTGCAACGCTGGCCCTCCCTCTTCCCGAGCCTCTTTGCTCTGGCAGACGGGACCCTGAGCAGCACTGCTGGTGCTTGAAATGCATTTTCTTTGCGCTGGATGAGGCAGGAAAGATCTTCGTCCCTGGCGTTAGGCCGGGGCATCGGTGCCCTGACCCATCAGCCATTCCCAGGAGGAATTGCACTGCTGCTTCTCCACTTCAAGATGCATAACAGAAATGTCTGAACCCACTGCCTTTGCTCTGTCAGCCCCGCTGAGTGGCTCTGCTGCCCTTATTCTTTCAAACTCTTTCTTCCAGCACTGCTGGACTCGCCCGACATAGAAAAGGTATGGAGAGATGGAGGTGCCATTTAGCTTGCTGGAATTCTTTTTGTAGCTGAAAACCGTGTCGCAAGGCTGCATCGAAGCCTTGCACCGAGGAAAAATGATTCCTCAATGTCTAATTCCATTATTGATAGTCAGTATAAAATATCTGAACAGAAAGAGATGGGGGCAAATTGCCCTCCAGCCCACTGGAAGAGCCGAGACTGCACTAACTGGATCAAGACTTGCCGGATTTGTCACTGCTGTCACTTCCTAGCGCAGGAGGGTGAGGTGGAGGTGGTAGTCCAGTCACCCCCGCACGTTAGAAGTTCAAAGATTTAAAGATTCAAAGATTTAAAACATGGTGTCAGCTTTTTATTGAATGCTAAAGTTACCTTCTGCCCTTGCGCTGTGCGTCTTGCTGAGTCTGCGGGCGCAGCGTGGTTGCAGCCTGGTGCTTTATTTCTGCTGGGGAGCTGCAAACCAGCAAGAAATTACCCGTGTTTAAGGATGCTGGATCTGTTATAATGAAGCCGTACAGTAAATAATTCATAGATTTTTTGGTGTGATAGCACATAGCCCTTGTACTTGAGGTTCTAGCAGTCAGCTGGCCCCATTCAGCTTACGGACCGCCTGTACAGATATCCTCATCTGGGGACGTCTCTGGTCCTCCAGTTTGCAGCAGAGTAGCAAAGAGCCAGCTTTAACCTCAGCAGTTTGTGGGTCCAGGACATCCGCTTTGTCATTAGTGACAGATAACATTGGCCTAGCTCAGGCAGGGTCGAACCTCTCTCTGCCGGCTTGTGGGTCACTGTAGCTTGCCCCTTAGTTGTCTAAAATAAACTGTGGGGTGTTCCAAGAGAATATTTTGTAGTTCAGATCAGTTTCTGCCATAACCGTGTTGCCTGCAGTATGAAAGGGATTTCCTCTGCTTAAAAA